ACTACAAAACATTCAAAATAAAGCACTAATCTGGGCATCTGGAACAAGATACCCAGACATTCCATCTGCAGGGGAATTACATGAGAGATATAGTATGCTCCCAATGAAGGTCAGAAAACATCAACTAGCCAGAAAAACATGGGAGAAACTAGAATACCTCGAAGATGACAACTACACAAGAATAACAAACACTCACCTCGCAAATGAGAACCACTCGTGGTTCCCACGCAGCCTCCCGGCAACACTGACAGACCCACGTCCTCTGTATAGCCGACGATCGTTGCTACGGCGAGATCGCCACGCAATACAGGGCGATCCAGACGATCCAGACGATCCCTGAAATGTAAATTCCGTTGAATGGACTAAAGGGGGAGGAATTAAGAGCTCCTTAGTGCAGGAGGGGGGTTGAAGCTAGGGGTAGCTGGCTACCTAAAGAGAAGGAATGTATGAGAGTTAAAGGAGGGGGGCGAGGCCCCTTGCTTGTTTTTTTCTTTGATTCTCGGTTCTCGAACTCATTTATACCGTCCGAAGGGGTTCGGGACGATATGCATGGGGAGAGAAGTCTCGTACGCTTACGGCGCTCGATCCTGCACCAGTGGAGTGGTACCGTTGGTGAGGGCTCCAGGGCACGGGCATACCAGTATGTATATATGTATATGAAAAAAATAAATACAAAAAAATAAATAATAATAATAAATAAATAAATAAAACCAAAAACTACCCCCAGTAATCGTCCCAAAGTCTGTTTACAACTCACGCACTGAGTTACAGCGCGAGATGTAAACAGAATGGGGGCGGAGGGTGTAGTCACCTTTCCGGCCAACCAGGCCACCGATCCCGCGTTCCCGTCTCGCCAGAGTCGGCAACAGGGAAAGGCTGCACAGAGAATCGCCAAGGACAGACTATTTTACAAACTGGCCTCGGGGCGCGGGTTCTGCTCGTGCGGGTGGAAATAGTCGACGAAAAAAAATATTACCAATAATAATAAAAAGGTTAAGGGATCGTACTATCAATGGATACAGTCTAATTTTAACAAACACTGTGATACTAACACCACTAACAGTGATATTGTTGACTTTTATGCTAAATTATTCTTTATGTAGAAATACATAAAAACAAATAAATATTTATAACACAGGAAGTCCACTTCACCAGCAGGGCACTCTTGGCACAAGCCATAAACAAATGCAAATAAACAGGCAAAAGGGATAGCCCCTTATCTATTACACTCGTCCAAATTTCCATTTCCTTAGCTAGCTTCTTCCTTAGCTTCCTCTTCTCTTCGTTGGTTTATCCTTCTTTCCTGCTTACTTACTTACATTCGTCAGTTCTCCTGGAAAGACTTCAGTGCTTTTGTGATGTGTTAGTGACGACCTCTTACGCCATGTGACCTCGCCTGCTCCACTTCTCCCGTGCCTGTAGTTCTCATACCTCCTCTGTGTGATGTATATTGTGTAAATAGTGCCTTTCAATATATCCCCCCCATATGTTTCCTCTGGTGTTTCACTGTTAACCTGGCCGATCTGATCATACCCCACAAACGAACCCTGGCATTGGCGACCTTGCCAGGATCAGACGGTCAGTAAGACAGCACCATGAGGAACTATGTGGAGGAAGGCGATAGGCTGGGCCTCGAGGGGATGGCCTTTTTACACTATATCCAGGAGCAGGAGATCAGGACTGAGCAGCTGGCTCTGTATTATCAGAGAAGGGCGGAGCAGAGGCGTCAGTTGGAAGAGGATCGTCGCAGGCGCCGCGAGGAGGAAAGGCGTCGGAAGGCTGAACAAGCCGCTTGGAGGAATGTGGGTCCCTTCCTCTGGGCTTGCCCTGGAGTCGTCCGGGAAACTCACGAACTCCCGGGAGTGAGACTGCCCATGGTACCGTCGCCCGTGGACTCGATCCGTCTGCCAAAGGACCCGTCGCAGCGGGAAGCCTGTCGGCACGGCGAAGAGAAGCAGAGGAATCTCCCGGGGAGCGGCCGTCGGAAGAAGCGGGCGCGTTCGAGAAAGCTGCAGCCGACGGGAACCCACACGCCAAAGAAAGCGACTGAAGCGGCACGTAGGTTGGCCACCGGATGGCGAGTGGAGCTGCTGGGTGGGAGCTGTCCACCCGAACAACCAGCTACCGTAGAGTGCCTGCCCAAGGACCTGGTGGGCACTGGACTGTCTAGCGGGCTGCAGTACGAGGACGTGTCGGAGGAGCTGCCTGCCGAGGTCCTCCCGAAGGAGCTGCCTACCGAGGTCACGCCAGAGGAGCTGCCTGCCAAGGAACCGTCGGAGGAGCTGCCTGACAAGGAACCGTCGGAGGAGCTGCCTGACAAAGAACCGTAGGAGGAGCTGCCTGCCAAGGAACCGTCGGAGGAGCTGCCTTCCAAGGACCCGTCGGACGAGCTGCCTGCCAAGGAACCGTCGGAGGAGCTGCCTGCCAAGGAACCGTCGGAGGAGCTGCCTCCCAAAGAACCGTCGGAGAAGCTGCCTGCCAAGAACCGTCGGAGGAGCTGCCTTCCAAGGAACAGTCGGAGGAGCTGCCTGCCAAGGAACCGTCGGAGGAGCTGAATGCCAAGGAACCGTCGGAGGAGCTGCCTGCCAAGGAACCGTCGGAGGAGCTGCCTACCAAGGAACCGTCGGAGGAGCTGCCTTCCAAGGAACCGTCGAAGGAGCTACCCAAGGAACCGTCGGACGAGCTACCTGCCAAGAACCGTCGGAGGAGCTGCTGCCAAGGAACCGTCGGAGGAGCTGCCTGCCAAGGAACCGTCGGAGGAGCTGCCTTCCAAGGAACCGTCGGAGGAGTTGCCTGCCAAGGAACCGTCGGAGGAGCTGCCTGCCAAGGAACCGTCGGAGGAGCTGCCTGCTAAGGAACCGTCGGAGGAGCTGCCTTCCAAGGAACCGTCGGAGGAGCTGCCTGCCAAGGAACCGTCGGAGGAGCTGCCTGCCAAGGAACCGTTGCCAAGGAACCGTCGGAGGAGCTGCCTTCCAAGGAACCGTCGAAGGAGCTACCTTCAAAGGAACCGTCGGACGAGCTACCTGCCAAGGAACCGTCGGAGGAGCTGCCTGCAAGGAACCGTCGAGGAGCTGCCTTCCAAGGAACGTCGGAGGAGCTGCCTGCCAAGGAACCGTCGGAGGAGCTGCCTGCCAAGGAAGGAGCTGCCTTCCAAGGAACGTCGGAGGAGCTAGGAACCGTCGGAGGACCTGCCTGCCAAGGAACCGTCGGAGGAGCTGCCTTCAAAGGACCCGTCGGAGGACCTGCCTTCCAAGGAACCGTCGGAGGACCTGCCTTCAAAGGACCCGTCGGACGAGCTACCTGCCAAGGAACTGTCGGAGGAACTGCGTGCCAAGGAACCGTCGGAGGAGCTGCCTGCCAAGGAACCGTCGGAGGAGCTGCCTGCCAAGGAACCGTCGGAGGAGCTGCCTGCCAAGGAACCGTCGGAGGAGCTGCCTGCAAGGACTCGAGGAGCTGCCTGCCAAGGAGGTGTCGTAGGAGCTGCCTGACAAGGAACCGTCGGAGGAGCTGCTTTCCAAGGAACCGTCGGAGGAGCGCCTGCCAAGGAACCGTCGAGGAGCTGCCTGCCAAGGAACCGTGCCAAGGAACCGTCGGAGGAGCTGCCTGCCAAGGAACCGTTGGAGGAACTGCCTGTCAAAGAACCGTCGGAGGAGCTGCCTGCCAAGGAACCGTCGGAGGAGCTGCCTGCCAAGGAACCGTCGGAGGAGCAGCCTGCCAAGGAACCGTCGGAGGAGCTGCCTGCCAAGGAACCGTCGGAGGAGCTGCCTTCCAAGGAACCGTCGGAGGAGCTGCTTGCCAAGGAATCGTCGGAGGAGTTGCCTGCCAAGGAAACGTCGGAGGAGCTGCCTGCCAAGGAACCGTCGGAGGAGCTGCCTGCCAAGGAACCGTCGGAGGAACTGCCTGCCAAGGAACCGTCGGAGGAACTGCCTGCCAAGGAACCGTCGGAGGAGCTGCCTGCCAAGGACATGTCGGAGGAGCTGCCTTCCAAGGAACCGTCGGAGGAGCTGCCTTGAACCGTCGGAGGAGCTACCTGCCAAGGAACCGTCGGAGGAGCTTCCTGCCAAGGAACCGTCGGAGGAGCTGCCTGCCAAGGAACCGTCGGAGGAGCAGCCTGCCAAGGACATGTGGGAGGAGCTGCCTACCAAGGAACCGTCGGAGGAGCTGCCTTCCAAGGAACCGTCGAAGGAGCTACCTTCCAAGGAACCGTCGGACGAGCTACCTGCCAAGGAACCGTCGGAGGAGCTGCCTGCCAAGGAACCGTCGGAGGAGCTGCCTGCCAAGGAACGTCGGAGGAGCTGCCAAGGAACCGTCGGAGGAGTTGCCTGCCAAAGAGGAGCTGCCTGCCAAGGAACCGTCGGAGGAGCTGCCTGCCAAGGAACCGTCGGAGGAGCTGTCTTCCCGTCGGAGGAGCCCTGCCAAGGAACCGTCGGAGGAGCTGCCTGCCAAGGAACCGTCGGAGGAGCTGCCTGCCAAGGAACCGTCGGAGGAGCTGCCTTCCAAGTTACCGTCGAAGGAGCTACCTTCAAAGGAACCGTCGGACGAGCTGCCAAGGAACCGTCGGAGGAGCTGCCTGCCAAGGAACCGTCGGAGGAGCTGCCTGCCAAGGAACTGTCGGAGGAGCTGCCTGCCAACCGTCGGAGGAGCTGCCTGCCCGTCGGAGGAGCTGCCTTCCAAGGAATCGTCGGAGGAGCTACCTGCCAAGGAACCGTCGGAGGAGCTGCCTGCCAAGGAACCGTCGGAGGAGCTGCCTGCCAAGGAACCATCGGAGGACCTGCCTTCCAAGGAACCGTCGGAGGAGCTGCCTTCAAAGGACCCGTCGGACGAGCTACCTGCCAAGGAACCGTCGGAGGAACTGCCTGCCAAGGAACCGTCGGAGGAGCTGCCTGCCAAGGAACCGTCGGAGGAGCTGCCAAAGGAAAGGAGTGAGAGCTGCAGGAGGAGGACAAGGAGGAGGAGCCTGCCAAGGAACGTCGGAGGAGCTGCCTGCCAAGGAACCGTCG